TTCCTTTTTTTTTTATTAGACAACTGATATATTATGATGGTTAATTTTGTGTCAACCCGACTAAAGCCATAGAATATCCAGATATCTGATCAAACATTTTGGGTATCTATCTGCATGGTGTTATGGGGGGAGGGACTAACATTAAGTTGGTAGAGAAGTAAATGAGTGTCTGTAATGTACACGTGGCTCATCCCATCCGTAGCTCTGACAAGAACACGGCTTACCTGCCTGGCCCCTAGGAAGGGATGTCCTCTGGTCTCACTTCCCTTTCCTTTCTTAGGATGAAAACTGAAGGAAGCCGCAGCAGCTCTTCCTGAGCCATGTGTCTAGTTGATGCTGCAGAGATCTTGAGATCTGTCACTCTTTCCAACATCAAGTAACCCAACTCCTTACAATAACCAGTCAACAGTCCTACACACGGGTTTTCTGAAGAGCCCTTACACACATGTAACATGCCACAAATCTACTTCCCGATCTTCTTTTTCCCCCAAGTAGTATATTCTAAAGACTATTTTTTGGAGCTATTGACCCTTTGGCTCTCTCTGGCAGCGCCACAGGATTGTATGGTATGGATGCAACAAGTCCCTTCAGTCAATCCTTAACAGACACTGGGTCATTCTAGTCTTTTGCTATTACAACTAGTGCAGCAGTTACTATACTTTAACCATTTTCTGGAAGATAAACAATTAGTTAATTTCATGTGCTATTTTGTTTGGTAGAAAATTAATGTAATAAACACCTTTATACTAAAAGAAATAAGCCAGGAGTTGAGGGACACACTGTAGTCTCAGCACATGGGAAGCTGAGACAGGAGAATCATGAAGGTCAACACTGGAAACACACAGATCCTATTTTTAAAGTAAAACAAAAGATAGGAAGGAATCCTACATGAATACAGAATCACCAAAGGGTGTTACAAGGTATGTTTGCATATGTTTATTTTTCATTAAAATTTTCTACAGAACTTGATAAATTCTTTTAAAAATATTAGGGTAAATCATATCCCAGGTGTCAATATGAGCAATCTCTTATTTCCTACAATCATCTCTACCAGTGGCTGTAGGAAAATGCTGCTAAATTTTGCCAAGATGATGTGAATAACACCTAACTGTTCTTTTAGCCGGGTTCCCTGATTACCAGTGAGGTCAAGCATCACTATGGATTTACTGGGTACTGATATTATTGACTTGTTTTGCTTACCAATAGTGTCATCTTGGTATGTCGGTCTACCAACCCTTTTTTAAAATTTATACCAACTACTCTGTGGGCCCACAGAACGTATTTTAATTCTTACAATATACTTGGGTTCATTCTTCTTGAACATTTTACGTATTTAAGACTTGAAGAATCTGTTAAAAAACTATAGTATCGATTTGTTTACCCTGATACTCCATACATAAAGCTGCATTAAAATATAAGTGTTTAAAGCTTTACTCCCCAACTTTGATATTGTTAAATTGTCAAGATTATTTTGAGTAAAAACTTTGTATTAGTATTAAGACTAAAAAAGCATGCCAATAAACTTACATAACAATCTGGCTAAACACCTCATTTAGCTAATTAATTCCCCAATATACTAAAATGTTTTTTCCTTAGAAAAAGATTTCCTTGAATCATGTTTCAATAGACTAATTGTCATTTAGGTCTGCTGCAAAGCTCTAAAATTCACCCCTGCACAGTGAGTTTTCCTCATCTTCCTCCCTGGCTGCACCTATTCATGAATAGACGATCTCATGTCTTTATTTGACCATGTATTTTGGTGGTATACATGTTTCAGATGATAATGGTAAGGAGGCAAGAGAAATACATCTTCTGAAATCTTACTTGTATGAAAACATTTATTATAAGCTCATATGTAACTGAAAATCTGACTGGCACAGAATTGTGCTAAAATTTTTTCTTCAGAATTTAAAGTCATTTCTCCTTGCAGTTTATAAATATTTTTTTATTGCATGTATGACTTTTTTCTTATCCTTATCTCCTCACAGACTCTAGAATGTTTGGGTATTATGATCTGAATGTGTCCTTGCCCAATGATGAACCAAGCCACACCTCAATCCCCAATGATCATAATAATATAGAAAATGGCCCCTTTAAGACGTAACTGGGTCCTAGAAATGAAGTTCTCATGAATAATGCCTTTAGGAGTACTCATGGAAGGCCAGCAGGATGGCTTACGGAATAAAGGCACTTGCCTTAGTTCAATCCTGAAACCCACACAGTGGAAGGAGAGAACCAACTCACCCAAGTTGTCCTCTGACCTCCAGAGATGTATTGCAATGCACGTGTATATGCACGCATGCGCACACGCACGCACATTTCCAATGAAGCTTTGTCTGCCCTCTCCCACCATGTGAAGACACAGCAAGTAGGCCCCTCCATTAGGAATGTGACCTTACCTAACAACAAATATGCTGAAGGCTTGACCTTGAATGGAAACTTCCAGACCTATTAAAAACAACTGTCACTTGTTTATAAACTACTCATAGTTTTTTATAGCAGCTGGAAGAGAGTAAGACACTGCTAAAACCTCTAATGTTGAAATCCTAATTCCCAACACAAAAGTACAAAGGAGGCCTTTAAGAGGTAATTATGTCATGGGGATAGGGCCCTTATGAATGTTATTAGTGTCTTCAAGAGGTCCCAGAGAGCTAGCTAGTCCATTCTATCTTTTAAGGACACAACTACGAGGTGTTTGGACCAAAAAACCAGGCCTTTGCCATACAAAAATCTGCTGATTTCTTGACCTGAAAATTTCTCAGTCTCCAGAACAGTGAGAAATAAATTTCTGCCATTTATAATCTACCCAATGTATGTTATTTTATTACATAACATCAGCCCAACTAGAGCACTAGTATTAGTCTTTTTCACTATGTATTCTGTTGGTCCTTCAACCCCTACAACTCAAGCAAATATTAAGAAAAATGGATGATGGGGGATACATGCTAAATTCTCCCCTATGTTTTCTGATTCCTCAACCTATAGAACTTCATGGAATGATTCTGATTTTACTTTTTACTTTCTAAATGTCTTTTTATTTACATTTCTAGAAATTGTCTGAACTTTATCTTCTAATCCTCCCATTAAATATTCAACTTTATAGTATTTAAAAATATATCCAATAACTGTGCTTGGCATGGTAGCACATGCCAGCAATCTCAGCACCAGGGAGGTAGAGGCAGGAGGATCAAGAGTTCAAAGTCATCTTCAGAAACTTTGAGGCCAGACACACAATTTGTATGCATCTAGTAATTTCTTTACTTCCCAAAATGTTTTAAATATAGGTTTAAAAAAGATTTACTGTGGTTGGTTGTTGCTACAAATGACTCCTAATCTGTGGGAGTTATTGAGAAATACTTTCACAGTATCCTGGGAACTGTCTCCCTGACGTGTAGAAAAGGAGAAACGTTTATTCCATCCTCACATATCTCATGTCCTTTGCCCTCCACCTCAGAACTGCACATGGTGAGCACTAAGAGGGCTCCTACACTATTCTACCTGGTGTGGACAGGGACGTCCTAGGGAAGGCTGGCAGTGATATGGAGGGAGAGATCCAAGGCAATGCCCAGCTGTAGTCCAGTGCGGCTGGTCAAGACAACAAAGAACTGGTTCCTAGGGCAGCAGCTAGAGTATGTGGCGGAGAGTACTTCTGCAGTGAAACACAGTGGGATCTAATATACTGGACATGGTGAGAACTTTTTCGTTTTTTAAATGTTTAACCTTTAAGCTTGGTTATGTTGTTTGCCTTGGCTTCTAACTTTCAATGTTCTCAGTTATCAACGGCCCAGTGATGTGGGGTTATCTGCTTGACAGAGGGGCCTAAAGACCCGACAAGAAGTATGGGAAGAGGATTTTCCATTGTACAGCTTTAGTGGAGTATGGCATGGCTGGCTCACACTAATGAGAAACTCTTAATCAATCATTGTAGGTCTTAAGCCAAGTGCGGTGACGCATGCTTGGAATTCCAGCATGCAGGAGAATCAGAATTCTAAGCCAGCAGGCCAGCTAGTGCTACAGAGAGACCTGGATCAAAACAACAATGCACATATGCAGGTCTTTTCTCTTGTGCTAGGCACCCTAGGCAGAACAGGCTAGTATCTTCCCAGCAAGGGTAGAGTTGAGGGAGATGTAGGTCTGGCTGGCCTGAAGCCCCACCATTTAGCTGGTCTTTAGGGTCCTCTGGCTAGTTCAGTGCTTGGTCCTGAGTCATGCCTGTCCTTGCAGTCTCTTGCAGAAAGGACAGGCAACAGGGGATCTGAAAGTCAATTTCTTTTTTTTTTAGACCTATAGAAGTAATTCAGTTCTAAGTGCTACTATTACCTCCAGCTCCTAAAAAGGAGGGGCTCTTTAGTGTAAGCCCACATACTTTCAAGACTTTTTTTTCTTACAGTGTTCTTAGAGTAAAATTCATATATAAAACAAATCTGAAGAAGTGCTTCAAAGAAAACATGTCTGAGAAGAACAACTAGATGGAAAACCATGGTCTAACTTAAGAAGGAACCCTCAGTTCCTGAGGTAAGACCACAGGAGAAAATGTGGGCCAATGACAAGAAGTTAGGACACATGCCAGAACTTAAAAGGCAGAACCAATCAAGATTCAACAGTTACTTTAGCTGTGATCTGAGAACGCTAACTGGAATCCTGACGTCACTGGTCACCATCTGGGCAAGAATGAGGCAAAGAGCTTAAGGCAAGGCTATTTATAGGAAATTCAAACAGTTCTTGAACATTTTTGACCAAGATACGCCATCTCGCACTGCAAGTCTCATCAGACAGAATAATCACGCTGAGACACACCACTCAGTCTGGGACACAAACAGCTTCCGAATGACTCAGTGAGCTTCTGAGGAATAAAAGCCTGAGTATAAATTGAAAAAGTCAACACTGACAGTTGTTTAACAGTGGTAAAATATACTTTTATTTACTTTGTTGAATCAGAAGGTTGTAAAAAAAATTATTGCTAAAGTAGATACCAAGCAAAACAGAAGGTACTTTAGAAGTCCAGTTACCTTGGAGTTTATTTAAACTAAGGAAAAGGTCATGTTTTCATGCAATACATACTTGGTTCTTTAAATAACAATTGTGACAAACAGCAGGAAGAATTAGAGAATGCTGCACTTGTGATCCATACAAAACATCAACATTTTGGGTTGTACATAATTAAAGAAACATCTCACTTTTCGAAATACTGTAATAGCCAATATATAGAGGCATGCCTTTATGTGGGCATAGGAATGCAATTTAGAAAAGAAAAAAAAAATCACACGGGAACTATTCAATTTCTTTAAAATCACTGAGCAAGAAAAGCAACATTGAACTTTCATACTGAGTTTATGCAGCTTCTATACAGTACCTTGACTTCAATCCAAGAGCCAAGTTAAGACTCCTCTATTTTTGGTAAACAACTGCATGGTAAACTTAGATGACTTTCCCTCTGGATTTTACCTGGGAGTGGCCTTTTTAATATTTTATTTAAAAGAGGGCAGGTTTGGCACTTTTATACTGATGTCACCAATGTTAATATTTCTTGGGATCTCAGGAAGATTCATATTCTTTACAGCTGATACAGCACGGGCTGGAGCTCCTGCTAAGCCAGCCTGTATACAGAAGCAAATAAAAGAAAAAGAAAATGTACAACTCAGGTGTGGCTCATTACAAACAAACTTAGCAACGGAAGACAATGATAAAAGGTTTTCACATAACAAGCTTAGAGACCAGATGGTAGTTTGAGTCAGTATGAGATGATTACTTTGAAATACTAATCTATAAAGAGAAAACAGTTGACACATTAGAAAATACAGTGAATACATGCAATAACAATGTAAAGAAAGATTTAAGTACAAGTTATGTATGCTACCCAGATACCACACACAATGTTCAAATAAAACCTAAATTTTAGCTACAATTTAACAGACATGAGTTTTGAGGAGTGATTTATATTAGTTTCCTTATTAAACATCTTTTGAAACAATCATGACAGGTTGTTTTTATTTTAAAATGGAAATTATCATCAACATATGTTTGTGAAATAAAAGCACTAGTAATTATTTAGCTTCTTCATTCAGGGCTAAGCCCTTACATTTCAAAACAATGAAATTGGCCTTAATACTGCTGGGACTCTTCCAAACTCTAAAACATTAAAAAAAAAAAAATTACACCTTTAGGGAAGCCTTAGTCCAAAAAGAGTAATTCTGCCCAAAGCTGAAACTGCATGGAGACTCTCCCAAGCAAGCCAGTAGTGGAAATCTAGTGATTAAGCATGCTTTGTCCTCTGAATTAGACTCAACAATACATGCTGAGTTTCAACCACACAAACTTGGAAAAAAAAACAGTATATATAAAGAAATGAATTTCAAATTTCCAGTTATCACCTTTAGTGCTTTGGCTTCCTCTAGTAGAAACATTTATAATTTGTCAAATAATTTAGACAAAAAGTGTTAGAAACTACACTTAAAAATGAAAGAAAAATACATATATAATGTTTTGAGTTCTATTAATAGGCTTCACTGTCAAGCTTTAACATACAGCAATAAGATTTCATTGTTTTTAAAAATTCAGACTATATAAAAAGCAAAGCCAACAAATATATCTGAGTTCAGTGGCACTGTTTCACACAAAACAAACAAACAACCCTTCTCCTTTGCTCAATTACATATATGAAAAAGACAATATCCATGAAGTTAGAAGCAGTAGTTTTAAACTCCCTTTTCATAATTTACATTTTTTTCTTCCGTAATCCTACCTCTTTTAATTAAAATAATAATAATAATAAAGCTGTTGTTACCTGAGAAAAATCTTGACTGATACAAAATAGGCCAGTGTAAACTATTTGCTGAATAAAGGATACAAACATTGTTAAGCAATAAAATAAAAGCCATGGATTATCAATTTAGGATTGGAAATAGGAAAATTAGTAAAACTGTACTAATAATAGATATGGTCTATACAGGCAATGATATGGGTGAAAATGGATAAAAGCTCCATACCCAAGTCCACACAGGCTGGGAGAATTCCATTTCCAGAATTGAATGGAGGTTGTTTTTGATGCAAAATTAAAAATTTGACTGCCTTCTTCATTTGTACCTACCTGAAACAATGAAGTTTATGGTGTACCCCACTTCTTTCTCACCCTCCAAAAGTGTTAAAGATACAACTGAATATCTTATCTTCAGAATGATATAGCTGAATATATATCATATTCAAAAGGATCTTTAATTTGGTAATTTCAAGTAAAAGTCTTAGCTATCAAAATTTAGAATGACTGAGGATCAAAGAAGAATCCAGTTCAAAGAGATTTGCCACCCTGTAAATTTTCTTTTCCCAAAAGTATATTGTCTGCAAGGGATCAGAAATTATTTTACAGTTGTAGACATCTGGAACTATCATAATTTTTCCAGGAAAAGGATTTGGTAAATTTTCAAATTCCAAGATCAATTTGCTACTATTTTAGCATTTGAATTTCCACAAAGGATTACATACAAAAAACTTAACTATGGAAAAGTATTTGAATCTAAGTATTTTAAAGGCTATAAATTATTAAAAGGCTTTATTATTGTGAAAAAGCATGTGTCTTTTTACTGATTTTATATTTTACCTTTATAAACAGAAAACCTATTTTTTCAGTATTAATACCGGGAAGCCTTGTTTTCTATAACACCATGTGTACAGCTAACTAAGCTCAGGCAAGGAAAAGAAAAACATTGCATTTCATTTCATTAAACTGTTTCTGTGACCAAAGATGGTGTCAACTCTTAGCTGCTAAAGAAAATATATAAAGTCATCACAGGAACTGATTTCAATGGCATTTGTGTGCCACATCCTTACTGTGCAAAACCAGAAGCTTCTAAGTACAACCATCTACATCTCATCTAAACATATGCAGCAAGCTGTAGACATGCAGAGGATGGGGTTATTTAGAACACGCAGATGAATTCGAGAATCAAATTATTTCTCAAGCATGTTCACTGCTTTCGTGTAGTATGTATATCAAGAGAGGAAGTGGTGGTAAACCATGAAATATGTGTCTTAATTTTAATTGTGCCAATATTTAAAGAGAGCAGACTCTGTAGAATATATGAAGAAAAATAGGACTACTGATCACCACACAAAGCTGACATGAGCTATAGATGTCTGAATATAAACCATGACTTAAACAAAAAGACTGTGTTACTCACAGAACATCAAAACAAAATAAATTTCATTTTCAGACGTCCATGACTGTCAAGTCTGAAACATGTTTACTAAAACATAAAATGTGGAAAAGGTAATTTCCCATTAGGAAATCCATTTTCTGACACGGGTGAACGTAATTTTCATCTCGCTTAAGATTTTTTTTTTCTTTTGGAAGATGTACTCAAACATATGTATAACTTTTACTAACAACTTTTCCAACAGTAACATTTATAGAATAAAGTTTACCTCACTTTTTAGTGGTATATAGATATGTATAATTTTAAAATGTAAAAATAAGCTATTCTTGACAGTACAGTATAGCTTGTGAAGATTTAAGACTGCATAGTGGACACAGAGCAAAAATAGGAAGAATGGAGTTCTACTGGAGAAATAACTTGTTTCCGTCTGTTACACTCGCGCACTACCGTGGCGGCAGCTAAGCAGCGGCCACTCCACTAACAAAAACAAATACATGGATCCAAAGCAGCTAAGAGTATGAACTGGATGACAGAATGAAGTACCATAGAGAAAAGAATGGTCATGTTTTCTCTCCCATGAGATTAAATAAATTAACAGAATTAAGAGAAAGAAAACAAAATGAAGTCTGCAGGTATACCAAAATGAGGCCAAACAGATAGAAGACTTGTACAGACATACTCTTGGAAATTTCAAGCACCTGAATCACAAAGATAGTAATGGATGGATATGATTTGTTTTTGGTTTTGTTTTTAAATTGCCAGACCCAAAAATAAACAAAATATGTGCAAGCAAAACTGAAAAAGCAGCATTGCTAAAATATATTTGAAATAACCTGAAACTTCCTTCTCCTCATGCAGTTATCAATTTTCTTGGGAAACAGAAATTAATAGTTCATGTACTTATTATTTCATAATGTATAAAATACCATACTACCATCTTAAAATATTTTCTTCAAGCTTGCAATACAGCATTGTAAGATGGTAGTTGGAATAATCTACACAAACTAAAGTCTTTCTTTACCCTTCTTTCTGGAAACTGCTACATGAACATTCATAATTTTGATCAAACAGCCAAATCAAATAAGACCAACATTAATAAACATGGTACTAAATGGTTTCAGACTCAAAATCATTAACAAAATAATTACATGTTTTAAGTTCATGTTTTTCAGTAAAACAGAAAATCCCATATTTTTTAATTTCTTAATGGAGGCAGATTAACTTTTAATTTGGGAATTTATATAGCCTTGTCCTTCCAGGGCACAGTGGCACACACCTGTAGTCCCAGAACTCAGATAAAAGCCAGCCTGAGCTATATAGCCAGACTGTGTCACCAAAAAAAAAAAACAAAAAACAAAAAAACAAAAAAACCCAAAACAAAACAAAAAACAAACAAGCAAGACAAAACAGGCTTGTTTCTTGTTTTGAAGGCAGTGCTTAACATCACAATTACAAACACATTAGAAATGTTGATGATAATCTAGTGAGCCAGACCTATAGTATTTTATAAACAAATTTAGTGAATTTTCAATGTTCAAAAACTTTTAAGTCCTTAAAAAATTAATATATGTCATCTTCAGTTTTGGCTTTAATTTTTCTCTCTGTTTTGTTCTTATTCTCTTAGTGAGACACGATCTCACTAAGTAGCCCTGGATAGCCCAGGGGTGGGGGAAATTCTCTATTAAGAGCAGGCTTGCCCTGAACTCCACCTGCTTCTGCCTCCCAAATGCTGGGAATAAAGGTGCGTGCCACCATGTCTGGCCCCATAGTTTTAATACCCAACACAGGATTTGCGTGAGTGAAATAAATACAGCAGACTAATAACATTCGTGGGTTGATTATAGGTAGTTTTGACCATAGCACATGACCTCAAGGGTCCTCATAGTAATTTTGTAAAAATACAAAATAAATGTCCCTATCAAGTTAAGGACAAGGCTATCAACTCATGTGCTGACCTTTCCACATCTGTATCTTAGAGCCACTTTTCTAGTCTCTACTCTTTTGAAACAGGTATCTGATTTTTTTTTTAAACTCAATTACTAGTTTTAGGGATAGAAGTTAAAATACCTAAGTGGTTATTGGCTCTTTTGCTAGAAAATAGTTTAATACAATTAATTACGAGAACATAGAAATTGCTGGTGATCTCAATCAATGAAGTAAATGAGGTCATATATTTTCCATACCAGAAAATAATACTTGGAGACCGGGACCAAAAGTTGTATCTGAGCTTCATAATAGCCCATAATTTCAGAATAAGATATAAATTATAGTTGTTATAAATCTATTACTATGCATCACTACTTCTCAAACCCATCCAGAGTAATAATGTCTTAGCTAAAAAGCAGTGCTGGCCTCTCAGGAAGACATTTCTAGTTATTCAGGACAGGTAATAACTGTTAGCTTGGAGGGCATTTTATCTACCACAGGACTCAGTAAGTTATTTTGATTTGGAAATTTTCAATTGGAAGTTTAGAACCATTTTGATTTTTTTCCTGACATGATTTTGTTTAAAAAAAAAAACCAAAAACCAAAAACCAAAAAACAAAACTTGCTTAACAGCATCATCATAAAGCTTTTTAAACAGTAATTCATTGTTAATTTATAGTGTGAAACAAGAACAATCAAAGGTGTGTATGTGTGTTTTAGGGTGGATGGGTGAGTATGGAGAGTTGTAGATCTGTGTGTGTGTGTGTGTGTGTGTGTGTGTGTTAGGGTGGATGGGTGAGTGGGGGGGTTATAGGTGTGTGTGTGTGCATGTTTTAGGGTTGGTGGGTGAGTATGGGGGTTATAGGTGTGTATGTGTGTATGGCATAAACAAGAAAAAATAGTTTCATAAACTTAGTTGTTTTTTAAAAAAAAAAAAAAAAAACGTTTCCAATAGGCTTTAAAACACAATATATTTCAATGTCTGGAATTTTGGTATATGTGTTTTTATTTTTAGAGCACTTTGTTCATTTTTAAAAGTTTGGTCTTTTTGTTAGCCACTGCTAATATGAACCTGTAGATCAAAACGGTAAAAGCAATTCTGTTAAGATTTTGGAACTGAAAACCATTTTAGGAGGAAAGGATACTATTTAACAGTCATTACTCTAAACCTTCACTGCTTCCCACTTTCTATGGAAAACTCAAAAGGTTTGGCTTTTGGTTCTCAAACTCATAGCTTCCAAAGCCCAGCAGGTAATTTTATGTTAGAACCTTAATGTAGAGATTATTTTTAAAAAATACAGGCATATCTATATATACTGCCAGAGTTAAACTGAGATTGGTTCTGCTAGTGGGATGCTAAAACTTAACTTTATATATAAAGTAAATTGTCATTTCTACAAATGCAATTTTTCAATTAAATGACCATGTTTTTATAAACAAACGAACAAAGAATTAAACTTTCTTTCACAATGCAGGCAGACAGAACAGAACAGACATGACACCAATGATGCACTAGGAAATACACTAGGTCCAATAAAAGATGGAGGAGCTACAGAGAAACTAGAATGGAAAATAGCTACAGGGACTATATGGGTTCATTAACACAAAGAATTTTTGAGTCTGGCCTAAAAAATAATTGCCTTCGACATCATTTTGCTTTCCCTTTGTTAAGTACGTTTTCTCAAAGTCAGCAATACCTTGTCTACCTGTCCTGTCTGGGAGACTGAAAGATAAAGGTCTGTAAGAGAGAAGAATGGAAAGAGCTAGAAAGATCAGGATGTTCAGGAAAAAAAGGAGGACTGACTTAAAAAGTAGTGACTAAATTCAGACCCATTTATCCACCTTAAGAATAACAAGAAATACATAATTCCAACAAGTCTCCCCAGCCCACCCCTCTACCACACCCAGAATTCCTTTTATTCCCTGGCAGGTTAATGGGTGCCTCTCAAATTTCCCCAACCCCCACCAATATCCCAGCTTAAACCCTTCTCTCCCCAAATTCCAAAGAGACAATAAACCATTTTTTTCCTCTCAACCCACAATAGATGAAATACACTGTCATGACTTTGCCTCTCTCCTTCATGATCAGATAGACTTGTCCTTCTACTGTCTAGGCGCTGGGAATTAAACTGGTCACTTTCTTCAATCACTGGAAATGCATTATCTTAAAGTCCCTGTACTTGATTTCTGACAGGTGACCTAAATAAATTCATATTTCAAAAACCATATCTTAATTATATTCAGGATAGTTTTCAAAAGCTAGAAGATAATCCTAAAATAGTTCACATGAATTATTAAAATATGATCAGTTCTTTTTAACCAATCTGAATTTTAGTTAATTCTTCCTTGTTATTTTTGTTTTATAATAATTTAACTGAAATTTACTAAAAAATTAATACTTTGCTCTCTAAATAATTTTGGATTTGTCTGTAGAGCCACCTGGCTGGTTAGGTCTAAATACCTGAAGTTAACTAAAAAAATTAAAGCATATGAAGATTTCAATTTTAGTGTGTGGTCTTCCAAACATTGAAAAATAGTTAATGACAACTTAATATAATTTTAACACAATTTCAAGAAATAGGATGTCAAATGTAGAGAAACAAATGATAATGTAGCTTGGTGGTTTAATCCTTATCTGATTAAAATTTATCTTCTTACAAAGTACACACACACAGAAAAAAAATAATTTGGCAGCAGATAACAGCTGATTATACATATTAAAACACAGCCAGTGGATGACCATTAGAAATATTCACCAATATTCTAAATTTTTAAAGATGATTATGTCTGTAAGAGAGTATCTCTGCATAGTAATTTTATAAAACCATAGCATTCCCATCAAAAATGTAAATTCTGCATCTTGTCACTCTCCATAGCTAAGAAAAACTGTCTTATTAATATAGTCTACTGGAAAATCAAAAACCAAACACCCCAAATGTACTTCTTATTCATGACTTTTGCAAATACTATATAAAACACTATGTAGAACAAAAGTAAACAGGAAACAAAAAAAGAAAGAAAAAGGAGGAAAAGGAGGGACCACCACTAACAGGAAATGAATTCCTAAAGTGTGAAAAACCAATCACGTGACCAGTATATGTTATTATTAGAGATTATTACAGAGTTCACAAATTAACCCTGTATTTTAGACCAACTACTGATGCATTATATTACTGTGGCTTGGCATTTAAGCCCTAATTAAAAGCCACTTACATAGTTTTGCGAAGCAATGTTGAGCAATTTGCATACATTTCAAGTCAACATTTTAAAACTTTTAAATGACACATTCAAGTTAATAATAATGTTACAAATAAATACAGTGAATAACACTGATCTTTTCCTTGGCCTAAAACAAAACTGCCTCTAATAATCCACTGCATGTTGTCTGCTTTCCAAGCCAGCAATGTAAAACCAGGTGGCAGAGCACACACGCTACAGCTCCTTTCCAAGTCCTCACTACTCTGCATCACCACCACAAGCCCCTCCCTTCTCTGGCAAACCAACAGGGATGGCAACAGATAAAGAGAGAGGGAAGACCACCTTTACTTTAAAATATAAGGAGCTTCATCTGTTTCTCATTCATATTTTGCATTTTCTTCAATTAAAATGAGCATCAAATTTTATCAAATTGAACTTTAAATATCAACAAGATATTTTCAGAACTCACCTGTTGTAAATTAATTTAGTAATAGTAACATCACTCCTTTTATAGTAATATTGACTTGAAACTGACCAAATATTTGAACTTCTACTAATAATTCTTTGTTTTTGTTGTTTTGTTTTCCAATCTGAGTTATAAAATATAAGAGTATCCTTAAAGGCTGGGCATGGTAAACATGCCTTGAAATCCCAATACCCAAGAGACAGAGACAGGTGAATCTCTGTGAGCACCAGGCCAGCCTGGGAAACATAGTGAGACTGTGTCTCCAAAAAAAAAAAAAAAGCCAAAACCAAAAACCAAAAGAGTGTCTTTAAATAAGTAAAATGCTGAATAAGTTAGCAAGTCTGCTCATCTTTCTGCATGTATGTTGTAAGATATGTGAACTTGAATGATCCAGGCACAGCACGTGTCGCTGATCTGAAGCCTCATTCTTGAGAGAAGAATGAATAAAACTCTAAAGTAGGGTTTCACACAGCACAAAGTGTAAATGTTACTCAACCTATTCTGACGTTGACTCTAACAGCACAGAGTTAGCCACAAATAACACGTTTCCATTATAGAATACAGTAAAATTTATGTGTTAATGAATAAAATATGTAATTAACTTGATATTTAGCTTTTTGGAAGGATCAAAAAAGAGTAAGGTACTGAATCTCTTTTTCTCAACGTGTAGATTGACTAAACATCTATTTATTACAAAACATGACTTCCTCAGAAGAATTCTACTTCCTCTCCTTTCCCCCCTCCAGAAAAGGTTTAAAACTGCATCTGAAGGCATGCTACCATTGTGATTAAAAGAATACATAGAGCTGTTTGGGGGTTGGCAGTCTTGGGAGATTTTGACATAAAATGTGCACACTCGTTTACTGAAACTGAATGGCACTCCGGCTGTGCCTAAAGGTTGATACTGCAGGACCAACAGTGAAGGCTACAAAGTCATGCATAAACAGCTCATGGTCATGCTCACAACCTTCACTAACTAAAGCGTCCACCAGTCTTACCTCAGATTTCTCCAGCTTATTTTGTGCATCAATTTGTGTAACAATCTCATTCATGTTGGTTTCCAATACCATTCCTCCCATCACCATTTCTGCAAGAATATTGTGAACCTAAAAGAAAAAAAATAATAAAAACAGACAATTCACTACAAAAAGTTTCACTATTTCAGTAATTTTTGTTTTAAAATCTGCTGTAATAATTTGCAATCATACTCCACTTTCATCAGTACTATGAAACTTCAGGCAATTATACAACCTATATAGGTATTAAGTTTAACGAGTTGAAAACAGAGATAATATTAGTTCTCCACAAGATTACTGAAAGGATTAGATTAGACAATCTATAAAAGTGATAAATACTAACTACTGAATTCTCTCTCATCTACATTTTTAATTTTTTTGGAAGTTTCATTTACCTGCAATCAATTTTGATCCAAAAATATTAGGTGGAAAACTCACAGAAATAAACAATTCATAAGCTCTAAATGCATGTTTTACTCCACTCTATCCAGAATGTGAATCATTATAAGCTCCTCCTCCCAGGCTCCTCTAACAGGGCATAACAAACCCAGTCCCTCAAGGTGGAAGACTGGCCAGGCCCTGCCCTACAGATAAACAGCCCAAGATCAGGCCACCCTGGAAAGCTCTGCCGCCCTAGAAACCCTATATAAAGCTTGCCTCCTGCTCAGTTCTCCGATGCTTCTCACAAGAGCAGAGGCAGCCCCCCTCTAGTGTCCTTCCCAATAAATCTCTCGGATAAGGTTTATTGTGCAGTGTGACTTGGTGGTGTCCTTTGACTCACAAATGCCAGGATACCTTTCTCTTCAGAGCTGTGCCACTTCCACTGGCGAAACCTTTCCCTTCAGAGCTGCAACACTTATAACCACCCCTTTCTCAAAAATTACAACAGGGACTAGAGGACAGCTCAGAGACCAAGAGCACTGGCTGCTCTTTTGGAGGATCCAGGTTCAACCCCCAGCTCCCACATTTCAGCTCACAACTGTCAGTAACTCCAGCTCCAAGAGATCCAATCAGACACCCTCTTTTGGCTTCTGCAGGTACCATACATGCACATAGTGCACAGACATAAATGCAGACAAAACATCCATACACATAAAATGACAAATAAATAAATAGAAAAATTTAAACAAATAAACAGAAAAAAAAAAACATCAGGTTACTTAATTAACACAGAAAACCAGTCTGCACCCATTGGGAATTCTTCTCTTATGTATCATTATCTCCAAACATGCCAACAACTTTGATTATACAATTTCCTTCTCACCTTCTGCTTTTAATAGCCATCAACTCTGACCAATTCTTTCTTTAGTCTCCCTTGGTGAAATTTCCTTCTGACTATTCCAACAAGCTCTTAGTTCATCTGTTCACTTGTTTTAAATCTCAATGCATACAAAACTAATTTCCATGCTGCAGGAAAAAAAATGTCTTCCTTCAAACACACACAAACAAAACACTTCCAAGAGAAACTTGTCTAAAACATTAAACTGCTTCAGAATAAAGTCCAAAATTCAAGGCAGTAACAACAGCTCTTCAAAAATCAGTCTTCTTGATTAACACCAATCCCTCTTTAAAGAACAGCCTGTATTTTATTTTTGCCAATATGGTTCTCTGCTTTTCTAGCCTCCTTTTCTGTCCATGGAACATTTATTCATTGTTATTATTCAGTTTAAATGCAATTTCCTCCAATCACAGACACCCAGGCAGAGGCAACCATGTTTCCACCAATACCCTGCCCATACCATTTCCTCTTCTAGTATGATCTCTTCTAGCACAAAGTCTCATTATTTCCTTCCAAGCACAGTGGCCTGGCTCATGGTAAAAATAATTTAACAGAATAAAAATCACTGCTCATTAAATGGCATTTTACTCTGATAAGTGCAAATTAATATTTTTCCTAAATAAAAAGCTTAAAATACTTGACAATATAGAAAATAGTACCTTGTCTACATGGAATATTAAATCCAGTTCACAGACATTTTCAAAACATTTGTCTAATGTTTCCACAAATACCTATGGAAAAAGAAAAAGATATTTTTGAAAAGTATGTACATTCATTCAAACTTCTTATCTATAAGGCAGATAATCCTTATTTTATATTTATATTTATATATATGTAACTATAATAAAAAGTAAATGTTACTTTCAGATAAACTACATTTTAGTATATAAAATAAACTTCTGAAAATTACTAAAATTAAATAGGATCAACACCATTACTTATTAAAATACACTTAAATATTCAAATAAGGTTTCTTCAGGAAAGTGTTTGAATAAAAGCTCATCAGGGAGTTATAATGGACAGAGTCCACATTTCTTTCACATCTAGTGTGGCCAGTCATTTTTAATTACAAAATTACTATAACTAACCAACCCCTAGACATTACTTAGAGAAAGAACAAGACTTCATTACCAAATTGAACTGAGTCTCAATAACTTGTATGTCTTTTTGAAGAGTTACCTCAGTAGGCATAGGTTCAAACAAATGCACACACATATCCCAAATGACCTGATTCAGGACTTGCCTTTGGTCAGGTCCTAAGAACTAAGCTCTGGCTTTCTAGAATATTCTGTCTGATAATAAGTGTTTCTGAACACACATGGTATTTGTGCCTTACCTTATTGACTGGATTCATCTGAGCAGATTATCAGTCTGTTAGTAATATGTTTTATGGACAACAATTGCCTTTTTTCTGGGGTGGGGGGTCTTTATCTTACATAACCAAGGTCAGTCACATACACACTATATACTCATGTGACTGAGCTCTAATAAAAATTCAATACCCAAGCTAGGATGAACTTCTCTGAATTAAAATATTCCACCACATATTCCTGAGGAGTTGAGTGTCCTGTGACTTCCATAGGAAGAGACCTAATAGCTTACAACTGGTTCTTCCAAATAAAATTTCTCACCATGTGTCTCTGCTTATTTTACTCCACACCATTACACTGTATAAATCCTAACCATGAGTATATTACAGATCTGAGTCCTGTTAAAATCAGTAACCGTCTTCAATTTCATCTTGCAGTTTCACAAGTACTGAACTACCATTTATACCCTTCTCAGAAGCAGCCTTCACAAAACAGTGACCATACTATTTATCCTACATACTAAAGCAATGCCAAGAACAAAGGCGACAGCTATAAACACTATCACTTAAAATAGTATTCAATATTATTTTACAATACACTAGCATTCTGGAACTGCAACCATAAATGAGAAAAGCTCAGGGAAACTGAAGCATAGTGTGGCCCTATTCACAGGTGATTATGTGGGGCCAAGAGCTCTCAAGAGCAGCCCCTTGATGTAACCCCTCCAAACTCAGGGCAACTCATACAGATTCACAGTGCGATGTATCATACAGAATAACCTGCATGTTATTTCTGTCGGGAGGACTACCCTCTCCTTTTTTCTATTCTCGTTTCTACACACAGAACATTTGCTCGTTCTTTAAGATCCAATTTAAATACAATTTTCTCTAGTCACATGAGGAGTGTACTTGTGTGTGTGTGTGTGTGTGTGTGACAACTTTCCACTCATCCTCCTAAATAGTGACCACAAAAGTTTTAAAGTCCAAGTTTTCTGCTTTTTTCTTTTACAGTTTGCTGCTATTAGCAGGTCTCAATTTAAGAAATCATCACTTACAACAAGGTCAGGAAAACTATTCTCCCAGAAGAAAACAAAATCTTTTTTTTTTTCTTTTCCACGTTTTTATCAACTCTATCTGAGAACTGTGTCTCTGCTAATCCTAAATCAATAGTAGACTTATGAATCAGAACAATGTTTTCAATGGTCTGGTATGCTTATACCTACGTTAGCCAGTTTTGTGGCTTTAACTTACGTGCTGAAGTCATCCTGTTTTTAGTACCAAAAAGAGTAACTACTCTGCTGAGAATGCTATGCAAATAGCTTCCCTTCACTTACATGTTCTTACAAAAGATTGGAAGAACCTACTTACTGTGCAGATTATATTGGGTGAAAAAGACAAAGTAGCTGAGACACTATGTGAACCACTGGAGAACTTAACCACAATGACATAAAAAACTGCCTGTCTGCACAGGCAGTGTGGTATTGTGAAGACGAAGCTTTGAAATCATTAAGATCTAGCTTCAAATTTTTACTCTGCTGCTACCCAGCTTTATGGCCTTCTGCATCATTTAAACTCTTTCTAGTCTCAGAACTGTAACATGATGGTAGGTCTTACTTTCTGGATTATTGGCAAGGTTTTGTTAAACCACTTGACTGGAATATTCATAGCATAGTTCCCAAACCCCAGCAAACAAATGATAGCCAACACTGTGCACCTGGATAGATATAAAAACACAGGATGATGCTGAAATTAAAAGAGTGTAACATGAATCTTGAAAGGTCTTATTAATAAAAACAAACCCAGAGCCAGGTATTGGGATGAATGCTGGAAGATCAGAGAAGCAGAACAAGCCACAGCCAACCTCACCTCCCCAACTCCTCAGCTGATTCTGTTTCCTCAAACTGGAAACCTCTGAGTCCTCATCCAAATGGCTCTCACCTGAACTGCTGCTAAAAGCCTAAAAGCTAAAAAGCTTCTAGTTCCTGGTCCTCATGCCTTATATACCTTTCTGCTTCCTGTCATCACTTCCTGGGATTAAAGGTATGCGTCACCATGCCTGGCTGTTTCCAGTATGGCCCTGAACTCACAGAGATCTGGATGGATCTCTGACTCCCAAGTGATAGGATTAAAGGTGTGTGTGCCACCATTTTCTGGCCTCTATGTCTGTCTAGTGACTGTTCTGTTCTCTGACCCCAGTTAAGTTTATTAGGGTGCACAATATACTGGGGGAAACAATATCACCACAAAAGAGTAACAGAAAAGTCTAATTCTGCTGGTAAATGCTGATAGAACAAGACAAGATAACTAATGCTCTAGTTCCCAAGACTTCCGAATTTTCTTGTTAATTTAACTATATGCTAACTGGCCTGGCAGAAATGAAACATTCTAAAGAGACACTTTGTATTTCTGAATTTAACAGACTATTGAAACAATGGACCCAAAGAAATGGGAATTTCCCTAGCAATCTCATGTTCAGAGAAGGAAAAGGCACCAACCAGAGTGGGAGCTAGTCTCCCAAAAAGAGATTTCACCCAGTTCTAACAGCATATGAAACCACCTTACAGGGTGAGACTGAAGTCCAGGCAAGAATGAGTTAACTGTGAGCAGGACCACACCTTGACTACAGCTACTTAGGTGTTCATATCCTTTGCCTCTATTTAAACCCTGGTCTATTTCTGACTTGGAGGGGTTCACATCTTTTTGTCCTTCTTTCTTCCCAATGTAGCCACATTGAATATATTCTTCTTTACACCTTTAATTGGCTTTCTGAGGATAGGCGGCCAGACCTGATTTAGGGCACAGATTGTGATTCTCATGTCTGATAAAAGTATCAGCTCCAAAAATCTCAGAAAACAGATGAACACCAACAACAACTATATAGTTATAATGACTATATAGTCAGTTTATAAAAGTAATTCTTAAGATTTACATATAAGCCATTCAAGCATTAAGTGTGACTAGAAAAATTCAGAACCTCTTCAAAAAACAATTCACCAATTTTCTTTTCATTCAGCAAAATTTATTTATATAATTAGAAAACCCAGAGCACAAAAGTTATATTCTATCACACAAGCATAAATCTCTCTGCAAAAATGCACAAAGATTGTTTTATTTCTTGGAGGTTCTGGATCACAAATAATAATAAAAGTACCATCCTATTATAATTTCCCAAGAATAATTTTTTAATAAAATCAGGACCTAGAAGTAATATGATAAACAGCACCCCCTTGTGTCTCACTTTTTAAAAAAGGTATAAAGTTTAGAGCTAGTGTCTTACATGGCAAGAATATAAAACCCAAGACTTAACCTCTGCCTTTAAGGAATTCAAAGGCTACTAGGAAATAAATTGCTTTTACTTTACTAAAGGATATTTTAACTTAAAAAAAATATCAAATTAGTACTCAGTCAGTTTAATGATGATAGACATAATCAGGAAAGTGACACATCCACATATAAACAGGGCCCCATTTCTCTTCTTACAAGAACATCCTTAATAAAAAAAAAATCTTTAATAAAAAAAAATCTGCGAGTCTATATCATACACAGGCTAAGAAGAAGCTATTACAAGACAGCTTAGTCTTCAGAGACTTAAACTCTCCCACCATCTCCCTACAAAGGGATCTATCTGTCCTAAGAAATGTTATTAGACGATTTGTCACTGTGCAAACATCACATAATGTACTTACACAGAAATGGCATAGCCCACCACACGTAGGTTGTATTATACACAGAGATAATGCAAACTATTATTCCTAGTGCTCTGATGAATGACAATTTAAGATTAGGGGCTGAGAACGCAGCTCAGTTGGCGGAGTGCTTGCTTAGCATGCACAATGCCCTGGGTTTGACTTACAGCACTGGATACACTGGGTGTGGTGGTATACCTCCATAATTCCAGCAATCTGGAGACAGAAGCAGAAAATCAGAAGTCCAGGGTCATCCTTGGCTATACAGTGAGCACAAGATAGCCTGGGATACATGAGACCCAGTAAAAACAGAAAACCCAACAAGAACAAAGCCCCCTTAGATCAAGCAGAAAAGAAAGTAACGCAATTAAGGGATATAGTAAATAGTAAACTTATAAGGTTGGTGCTGATGGGACACAGCACACTGTTTTAGAGTAAACTCACGAAAGAAACAGATAAGGGTGGACTGTAAAACAATAAAAAAGTATGGTGTGATATGCTCAGTCTAACGAATAAAGACACCAGTCACATAGCTGTTACTGAGTGTCCTAGTAGCTCTGCCAACTCCACATAGTCTAGAGACATCCGAGAAGACTCTCAACTGAGGAACTGCTGGGTCAGACTGGCCTGTGCACATGTCTGGGGTGGGGGGGGCGTTTCAACTGCTAATTGCTATAGGAAGGCCCAGTCTACTGTGGGCAGGACCATTCTCTGGGAAGGTGGGAAAAGTAACTAA